GCTATATGCATTCCTGGTGAAACCTTGTGCCTGAGAGCAATGGGCAGAAATAATTTTTAAAAATAATATAAAATACTTTCCTGCAAGATGGTTACCATGTATTTATCAAGTGTTACTCCTTTCATTTTCATATAGCATTAAATACATGAGTTTAGGTAATGATCTACGAATCACAGAAATGTTTGTGAGACAATGTGTATTTCATATCTAAGAGTGTGTTCTTTTTACAATATATGTCAGTTCCCATTGAAGTCAGATGCTGGTCTTTATAAAAAAAACAAACCTTATTAATAGATCGAGAGCAAGTCAGAGATCACTTCCTATGCTGGGTGAATCTGCAGGATGCATTTAAGATGATTCTAATGGAATGCATCATTAGGTTTGCGCAGCTTCTGTTCTGCTTTTAAGTTTAAAAAGAAAACCATTGTGAGAACAAGAAGGTTAAAATATATACCTTGAATAGAATCGAAAAGGAGGTGTGTTTCGTGTTATTAGTCTGATGATTTTTCTTCTTCAGGTGTCTCTGCCATCCTTTTACTAAATTAATCAGAAAAATCGAAAAGGAGGTGTGTTTCGTATTATTAGTCTGATGATTTTTCTTCTTCAGGTCTCTCTGCCATCCTTTTACTAAATTAATCAGAAGGACTAGATTGTGTCATTCTTAAGTAGACACCTTGCTGATGAAACTACTTGATAAGTAAAGTGTGGCTCAACCTGAGTAGTGGTTATAGAACTACTAACGCTTTTATACATTGTACCTTCTCAGGTGTTTCTGACTGCTTGTACCAACAGAATAATAATGGGGTTTTTCCTTCCTTAAGTATCAATGATTTGAAACTAAACCTCCAATATAACCCAAAATGTTTTAGTAAATAAGAATTTCACAGTATCTTTTCATAGCCATGTTATATTTTTCTCATTCTGCTATCAAAGCAGCTATGAGGTTGTTTTCCTGGTTGCTTTAGATTTACTCAGGATTGAAGTCAGTAAGTAGTTTTAACTCAAAAAATGTTCTAAGAACCATTGCTTTATCCTTTTATTTAATTGGCTTTACATTATGCGGCTATCGTGAATTTTCTATGTTGTTCTGAATTTTCTATGTTGTTGTGAACAAGTAGGTATTCTTTCAGTGTATCCAGTGATAACCTTTTATTTTAATGGGTTTTTGCATTGCATTTATTCTTTAATTCATTGTTCATTAAGCTCTAACCTATTTAGAAATGTTACCTTTTTCTCCCCACAGTGGCCATGTTGTGTTAATCCCAGAGTTCAGTCTTCCTTTGGAGTACTACTTAATCCCTTTCCTAATAATAGTAGGGATCTGTCTTATTCTCATCGTCATATTTATGGTAAGTTCCTTCTTTTAATTACCTTTTTTCTTTCAAACAAATCGTCATACAACTGTCACTGAAGTTAAATGAAGCTATACAGTAAAGGAACAGTGAAAGCTTTGTTTACTGTACATACCTGTACCGTGCTTACCTATAATCCTTTATTTTCTCAGTACAATAAACAGGTGCAGAATTTTGGCAAAGGGATATCAGGAGCCCTTAGGATGTTCTACCTGGCATGTAGCTGCTTACAAAGAACTGTCCTCACTGCTACTCTTCCACTGCATAAGCGCTTTCTTTTTTTGCTCCATAAAGAATAAACTGTTCTTGTGCTCTCGTATACTGAGAGTACGTCCCACCTTATCAACCTCATACTGCCTAATAAATGTTAGCCCCACTCTTCCACAATGCAGGTCTCACTGTTTGTTACTGCAGGTATAGTAATCAGTCAACAAGCTCAGAACAAGCTATATATATAGCATATATCGTACAGCACATACATTATCTATAGAGGTTCTCAGTTGGGCACGTGTCTCCTATAAACGGTAAAATAGCATAGCTATGTATTATTTCAGAATATTTAGCATCCCACTTCTTGGAATCTCTGCTGGTCTCTGACCAATTTATTATTTTACCTTTTGATAAAAGTCAAGTAATGCATTAACTGTTCTACAACATTTTCTTAAAAATATTTCTTTCTGTGTTAGTGGTTTTTGCACTGCAAATACTCTGAATTGCAAATACTCTCTTTTGCACTGCTGATACTCTGAATTAATTTCCCAATGTGTGAATTGGAGAGTTACAGATTCAAAAAAAAATATATAGGGAAGAACCATCTATGCAATCCAAAAAGAATGAACAGATGCTAGGTAGGATTAGATATGAAAAGGGGAAATATTTGGTGAGGAAAATCTGAAGCATTTAAACTCATCTCCAATTTCCTTGCTAATGCACTGAGAGGAAATTTTAAAAAGGGCATGTCTGTAAACTATTATTAAGAATTTACTTTCCCAAGCATGTCCCAGTTATAAAAGCAAAGGCTTTGAGAGACCTGAATTTGTCTTCTGTTAGTGTCAATAGGTAGTCAGTGCTAAATGAGTGGTTCTTTCCATGTTTTAGAATCATGTTGTAGAGAAAAACCAAACAGGAACTGGGAGAAAATTATATTATTGTATGTCTGCAAGTCAGGGTTACCTATACTATGTATTTGGAACAGATGTTTGGAGGGGTTTGAAAACAGGTTATACAATGTTGGAAATGCCAAAATCCATCTACATGGCCCATGTTAAACTGTGAGAGAAAAAGAGGGGGAGGTATTTGAAAGCATTTTCCAGTGTGTAGTACAGGTTCGAAGGTGGAACAGGATGAAATCAGGCGCAATAATGGTAAGCTGTGAGGTGGCATGGCAATGTTTGAGGGACGGTGTGCTGGTGAGGGCGTTTACTCTGCTCCATGACATACTGAGTACACTGGGGCACATCTGAAATGTGTTTAGGCTAATGCACACAGTATGAGGAACAAACTAGAAGTTTTGGTTCACTCCCGGAGCTGCAGCATCATTAGCATAAGTGAGACCTAGTGGGAAGAGTCCTATGATGGACAGCTAGAGGCTCTTCAGGAGAGGTAGGCAGGATGGGCGAGGCAGAGGGGTAGCACTGTGTGTAAAGGAGGGGTTGGACTGTACAGCACTTGCAGTTGGGGATGAAATGACTCAGAGCCTCTGGGTAAGGATTAGAGGAGAAGCTAATGAAGTGGACATCTTTGTCTTTTTTTAACACCAGTGATGGGCCCTGGGACCCCTGGAGCCCTGGATTGGAGGCAGTGTGACTGGGGGAGTGATAAGCTCCCAGCTGACTTAGAACCTCTACAGGAATTGCTGCTGCAACTGAGTGCACGCAAGTCTGTGGGGCCTGATGGTGTTCTTCCCTGGGTACTGGAAGAGCTGGCCGATGTTATTGTGAGACCTCTCGTGGTTGTTTGTCAACAATCTTGGGAAATCAGAGAGGTCCCAGTTGACTTGAACCTACTAAATGTTATCTGCCCTACTTTCAAGATGAAGACAGATGACTCTGGTAATTATAGTCCTGTCAGTCCCACTTCATTGCATGGTAAAAATTACAGAGAAAATTATTCTGGCAGTTATTTAAAAACACTTGAAAGACAGTGCAGTCATTGGTCAAAGCTAACATGGGTTCATGAAGGGAAAGTCAGGCCTTAGTAACTTAATATCCTTTTTATCCACATAGTGGACAAAGGGAAGGCAGTGGATGTGTAGGGTTGTGGTTTTTTTGGGTTTGTTTGGGTTGGTTTTTTTAGCAGAGCTTTTGATACTGTCTTTCACAGCATCCTTCTGGACAAAATGTCCACCATAAAGCTGGACATGTACACAATACAACGGGTGAACAACTGTCTGAAGGGTTAGGCTGAAAGAGCTGTAGTAAATGAGGTAACATCTGACTTGGCAGGCAGTCATTAGTGGTGTTCATCAGGGTTCAACTTCACGGCCAGTTCTTGTCGGTGTTTCTATCAATGACCTGGACACAGGAGTTGCGTGCGCACTAAGTAAGCTTGCCAGTGACACTGAATTAGGAGATGCTGATTCATTCCCTTGAGTGTAGAGAGGCCTTACAGAGAAATGTTGATAGACGAGAGCACTGGACAGTCAATTGGTGCAGTGAACTTGATCCCAGGGAGGTTCCAGGTTGGATTTGGTCCTCATTCATTTGTGGTGTTGGCCCTGCTTCTTTCAGGAAATCTTGTTTTAACTAAGAAATGAATGTGAGACACATTGATTGTTACTATCTGAACTACAGCAGAAAAGCTGCAGTTTAGGCATACAGCTTATTGTTTAGCTGGGGTAAAAAGAGTCTGAACAAACAGTTCAGATCCAAATATGCTTAGAAAGTGAAGCCAGGTGTCATGCAGAAGGATAAATAAATTTTATTTTGCCAAAAAACAATTCATTTCAAATGGCCGTAATAGTATTTGTCCATAAGATGTATACATTCATACTTTAAAAAAAATAATCTGTTGTGTATCAACAGTCCTAAAGTGAGAGATAATAATGCTGTTTATAATATTAATATTCTCTCAGTGTTTACCTTATCCACAGTGTAGGTAGGTGTAGAGCACCTCTGCAAATTTAAAAAGACTTATTAGTGTGTATGCTTTGGTTAAGGCCATTTTTTTGTTTGTCATCATATTTGAAAAAGAATGTCATATTGCAGATGCTAGAATTAGAAACTGAACAGAAACATCATTAGAGACTATTAAGAAAATGGAAGTAGAATCTTTAGTATAGCTGAAGACAATAACTAACCATGGCTTGAAGTAACCCCTTTACTCCTCCCCAAACTACATCTAGATAATATGAAAACAGTTCTGATGAACGTAAGAATAATCCTTTAAAACAGCTTAATAATGAGCAAAACCAATCAATGAATTAAGTTTTGCTCTGAAACGTGCCATCCTACTGTACATGGACCTTGGTAGAGGATTGCAGCAGTGGCCATTATTTTATATAGTATGGACATAATTTTTTTCTTTTCCTCTTTCCTTTCCAAAAAAAGCTTTTTTATTTCCAGTTTCAAGTGCCATGGTCATCAAGAACATCCTTTAAGCTTGTTTGGCTTCATCCTTGAGTCCAGGCGAGGGAATAGGTGATTCATTTTGAGCTGGGGTTCTCTTTTGACTAACTTACTACAAAGACTCGTAAGTTGAAACTTCTATTGTTCTCTTATTATTTTAACTTACTATTCATGTTGTCTTCCTTACATCTGTTTCCAGATCACAAAATTTGTGCAAGACAGACACAGAGCAAGAAGGAATCGGCTTAGGAAGGATCAGCTTAAGAAAATTCCTGTACATAAATTTAAGAAAGGCAAGTGGATCATTCTTTGTCTAACTAATTAAACCCCATTTTTTTTAACGCTAAAAAAAAACTCTAAATTGAGGGAGTTTGTAGTTTTGAAGATAATTTTGAGTACACTTGAAATAGAGAGTAGAGTTTGGAGTGAAAGCACACAAAAAGTTTGACTTGACCCTGTTCTCACTGAAATAGAGGAGTACTAGCTTTTCCTTAGTGGAAGCAGAGCAGATGCCATATGCAGACTGTGGCTGAGAATTTAAATGTTGCTCAATATACCACAAAATCAGTACAGAAATTCCACAAAACTTCCTTGTTGCTCTCGTTAACAGTGACCACAGCAGTCAGTCACTGTGGTGCGTTATTTCCATTATTTGTCTGGAAACTGATGAATACTAGGGGCACCTAAGTTGCCTGACGTTGTAGAGACTATAAAAACAAAACTATCTTGTGGGCATAATTTATCTCCTTTTCCAGAGGAGTCACCCTTTCATTCAGTGACAATATTTCTGTGAGGGCAAAAGTGATTCAAATTTAATGCCAGCATACTTGCTTTTGTGATCTTTGTAGTGATTAATTTTATGCAAGATTTAATTACAAGATGAGAAATAAAGCTGGAGTAAGTTGCTCTGTTCAGTGAAATAGAAAAGCTGCCTTAAGTCCTGCTCTGTTGTAGTCTACTTCTTAAAAGTAGAAAAAAACCTGCTACACTTCTTCTCCGTTTTGTATTTTAAATGTCTTACCATTTTACCATCTAATTGTTCATTCATACAAGCTGTTGCAAGGTATGAGAAGAAAAGGTGGAAAAAGTACGTGATTGAAATGATTGCTTACTGTGTAACACATGTCAATAGAGCACGTATTTGCTGAGGCACAAAGACCATGTTAGGGGATATGCCTGGATTCAAGGATAGAACCACTTACTGTTCTTTGCCCTTGATAAAGCCACCCTGCATTATTAATGACCTTGCTCTCACTTTGTACAAAGCAGATGTTCAGTATGAGCAGATACAGTATTTGTGCAACGTGAGTTCAGCCTCGGGGGGGAAGTGTTTGCGGGGTTGGCCTGAACCTTGCTGTAATGACCTATTGCTATGGATTTAAAATTAACTCTAAAAAATTATCTTAAGCCAATAAAGCTAGTATTGATTTTGTTTACTATTTTTGATTATCTATGAAATCTAAGTAAAATAAAAATACAAAGTAAGTGATGTTGTACTTTAAAGAGAAATTTGCAAAGAAAAAGTTGCTACGAGAAAGTCAGTTAACGTGTCTTTCGGTTAACTGTGTGCCTCTGTAATAACTCTCTCAGAATTACATGACTAAGTAGCCAGAGTATCAAAATACCGTATTGCCATTTTCCTCATTGTCCTTCCTCTTTCTCTTTGCTGAATCTTACGCAATAGGAATTGTTTGGATCTCAGTCATTGTAAATTAAACCTGGCTGTAAATATCCAGGTATCTACTGCATTCAGGGGCTTATGAAAAACAGAACAAAAAGTTTTATTTTTTTCAACTAGGATTTCAGTTTCTTTAAGCAAACGATCACTTTAGTTCTACTGCTATGAAATTAATCCTATATGTTACTTTAAGTCATTTTACTAAAAGGACAAAATTTGACCCCAATACTTGCAGTTACCTTTGGCAATTACAATAAAAAAATATATTGCTTCATGCTTCTTTGTGATAGGTAGGATTTCTCAAGACATTATTGCAAAATCCATTCACTTCAGTCGTCTTGATGATATATCCAAACAATCTTACCTTTTGCTTTGGAAGGATAGGTGAAAGCAACTCCTGTGGACTATAATCCTGTTTTTAGGAATGCTGGATTTTCTTTTGTCTCCAGTGTATTCTTAAAAATCTGTATTGAAACAGATTGAAATGTTAGTCAAATACTGAAGCTAAGACACTGTAGGTGCTGGTTCTTCTCTTTCTTGCACTGGTTTTTATATCATGAATCACTGCCTAATAGATAGTTTCACTGTACTATAAAAGGGTTTTTAAAGGAAGGTTTGCTTTAGTGGATTCCTATAATTTAATTGGTTGATAGGCAAATGATGATGTAATGTAGATGATTGTTCTGTAGGGGTGATTGCACTCTGACATACCTAAAGAATTAACACAGAAAATACATGAATCGTCTCTAAATAGGATTTGAGTCAAATAGCACTGTAGTGCATGGGAATCTTTTACTGATTCCTCTAGGCTTTAGATCACGTACTTCATATTTCTGTAATGAGGAGAGAGAGAGAGAATGCGGTAACAAAAGATGTGGCACGGACTGTTTTTGCAGAGTCCTAATCAACAAGCCTCGCCTTTGAATAATTCCTCAGAATGCAACATACGCTATATCAAAATCTGTTTTCTAGGCTGAAAGAGTTTTGGGGTAGTTTTGTTGTGGTTCCTTATAAAATGGATTACGTTTTGGTCATACAAAAGACAGTGGGAGTTGATATCTTTTGTATGATGTCTTTATAACAAAAGTACACACAGCAAAAAAAAATCTGTAATTTGATCATTAGCAAATCAATACTCTGAAGAACAATAGCTTGGAAGAAATATAGCTTAGAAATTTTGTGAATTGGTACATATTCTAGAATTTATTTTCAGAAATACATGTTATTATTTCCAAGCTAGCTTAACTTTACACTAAACTGGAATATATGCCAAGACTGAAAAGATTTTTAGATCTTAACTGCAGTGAAATTACAGTATAACCTCTCACTCCTGTAGAAAAGAAAATATCATAATTTTAGTGAAGATAGAATGCTGAGAGAGGGATGTGTAAACATATTAAGAAATTAAAAATGAATGAACCAATTTTTTTCTGCATTGAGTGTTGAAAGTTAGTATCCTAAATGAGTGTCTAGATACCTGATAAAGTGTCCAGAATTTGGGAACTGCTACATCCACAAGACTTCTAAAAATTGAGCTGTTTGATTAGGTGTTTAAACATGAAAGAAGAGCTCAACTTTAGGCAGTCAACTTTGAAATGCTTGGTGTACACATGGAAAAAAGTCCTACATATGTGACAAATAATAAGCTGTAAGAGTACGTGTCATTTTAAGCAAAGACATAAAAATATAAGTATCATGTGTATTGAATTTTTGTGTACATATAGATACCTGTGAGCATTAGTGGGAAATAGATATATCTCAACACCTTTTAAAAATCTGCTCCAGAGTAAGTGCAGTTCTGCAGTTTACTACGTATTCCTAAATTGATTTTTTTTTTTTTCCCCCCATGCAACTGGGATTATAACTGATCTAATTGCGGTTCATTACTGACCCATCTGCCTGACCGCACAGTACAGTTGTGCTGTAATAGAGAAAAGAAGTCATAAGGTCTACCAGAGTCTTGGCAGTTTTACTTTTGCATTTTTCACTGTTCACAAGTTCATGTATATGTGGATGGAAAATTCTGTGTTTCTGAAAATATTTATTTATTTATATGCGCCAAGTAGTTAGATAACTGTGCTTGCTAAAGACTTTTCCTACACAGTTTACTTAAGCAAGATACTTTATTTTGCAGCAGCTCCCATACTTCCTTTTTTTTCCTGATTTTTTTGGTGGTTCTAAGCCAGCATCTAAAATACAGTAACGGGTATTTGAGAGAAAGATGTCTGCAAAGTGTCCCTTTTAAAAATGGAATCTTCTTTTCTGAGGGACATGTAGTCATGGAGGTGAAACTAACTTGGGACTAGTCATCGAGGCTGCAGGATTCATGGAGACATCACACAGGTCTCAGCTCTAAGGAGGGCTGGTGTGTCTGGTCCTGGCTGCTGCTTGGGCTTGCCTCCCTTCCCCAAACCACGATGAGAGCAAGCATCTGGGTAATAGCGTTAATTAATTTGTGTGATGACCTGTTGGAGAAATGTAGCAGATGGACTGCAGTTGATGGATCCAGTAGGTGCAGATGAAGCAGTTGGGCTGAGGGCGTGTTGCAAATGCCTGCGCAATGAAAGATGGGGCTGTGAGTTGAGTAGGGTAGGCCTGCATACATGGCCTTGACAAGAGTTGGAGAAGGATCTTTGTGGCGGTTAGCCAACATGCTGTCGGTCAGACCTGTGGCCTCCGCGTTTGAGAACTTTAGCGTTGGCCTTATTGAGAAAACTTTGTAATTACCTGGCTTAGAAACAGATGTGATGCTTTACTACTGCATCATTTTTTTCTGAATGTGGTGGTGTTCGTTTGCTAGGGGATGCCTTAGCGAGATAAGCCTACTTAACAACAGTGTGTTGTCATTTTTCAGGGCTTTCTTACGTATGTTGAATGACTAGTGGGGGAAAAAAAGACAACTGTATTTGAATGTTTGGGGTATTTTTCTCTGAGAGATGATCAATTAACATGGTTTGACTAATAGAAACAACAGAGAAAAGGAATATCATAGCAAAAGAGGAAGTAATTTTTTAAAAAGCTATAGCTGAAGTATTTCACTTACATTAGACAAAAACTTGTACTTCAGTAATGTAGGTCTGGTGGTGATGGACGCCATTTAATCTCTCTGACTTTTCCTACCTGCCCATGAGGATTTTTTCTCCTGCTTTTCCTTTATCTTATCCTATTGTTGTATAGTAACTATCAGGAAAATTGTGTTTATAAGTAGTTCTCATGTCCACTGTGCTTATTTTCTGAAATGTCAAATTACGATAGTGTTATTTTTCTGTTGGCAGTCGTCATCTTTGCCTTTTATGTTGAATGATATATATTAACAAAAATAATATGAACCAAATTTCACAGACCACCTGTGCCACCACAGAAGCCCTTGAAATTTATCTTTTTGGGAAACAGATGAGAATTTGGTTTTATCATAAAATACCAGACTGGTTTGGGTGGGCAGGGACCTCCCAGCCCATCCAGTCCCACCCCCTGCCATGGGCAGGGACACCCTCCACTAGCCCAGGTTGCCCAAAGCCCCATCCAACCTGGCCTTGAACACTGCCAGGGAGCCAGGGGCAGCCACAGCTTCTCTGGGCACCCTGTGCCAGGGCCTCAGCACCCTCCCAGGGAAGG